TTATGGAACAATAACCACATAACTGATCAAAATAGTTACAATGTTTATTTCTAAAGAGGTTATAATTTCATTGTTTAGGCCACTGGTTAGAAATTATTGGAGTATTGTGTTCAGTCTTGGGCTCCTTACTTTAGGAAGGGCATTAAATTTTTGGAAAGGGTTCAGAGGAGGGTTACTATAATGGTGCCTAGGATGGAGGGGTTGTCGTCTGAGGAGAGGTAAAAATCTCTCAAATTGTTATCTTTTGAAAAAAGAAACGTCAGACGGGATCTGGTTGAAGTATTTAAGATTGTAAAGGGAATTGATAGTGGTAATGCATCATATTTTTTCATACTTAACAGTGAGAATAGTAGGACTAGGGGACACAAATATAAATTTTGGCAAGGTAGGAGTAATCTTCAGCTAAGACAGTTTTATTTTCTAACAGTGAAGTTGGTCTTTGGAATAAGTTGCCTTTGTATGTTGTGGAGGCAGTAATTTTTACGTGAATTTAAGGGAAAGCTTGGTAAGTATATGAATGGTAAGGGCTGGCTTTAAGATTTTATCAAAATTCATTTATTAATAGTTTTAGTTTAGTTTAGAGGATGGGACAGCCAAGATGAACCAATAAGTTCCATATTTTGCCAAAACATTTCCTCATGAGGGAAAATCCACTTTCCAAAAGTGCTCAAGTTATTGAGTTTCTTCTCTAATGCTAATATTTTGTGTTTATCAGTATATTTTTGAATATCACAAGCTTTGTACTTCATTGATGTGCTTCTATACTTTTCAGTTTTGTTGTTATAATCCTCCTATACATAAATGATTTCATCTTTGTACTCCATCTTTTGCTTTGTTGGTATTATTTTGTACTTCCTTTTTCACTTCATTAATCTTATTCTTATAAACCTAATATACATTTTCTCTGGCTCTCTTGATCGTACCTTTGACAACTTAATTTTGACTGCAATTTTCTCTAAATCTTATGTCTCATTCTTGTATCTTCCCTCTTTAATTATGTGGTATAGGATGGTGCCATATGTTTTTACTCCTTTAGGTAATAAGTAAATTTTTTGAACTCTCTGTTTTTCTTTCTAGTCAGCTTGGACAAAGAAAGTTGCTCAAGTAAAGACACCGGGAAGCCCAGAATATTAAATAATTCCCCAACAGAAAAGACAGTCTTCTACTCTTGGACATCAATATCTAAATTTCATTCAATAATATGCAGTTAACTGTCAATTAATGAATCCAGGCCCAGATAGAACTAGAACCAGAAAAGTTAGATAATCGAACATGAATGAGTGGTCACACATGTGAAATAGAGTGTGTACAACATGGCTCTGTTATTGTTTTCAAGATTTTATATATGTTGGCTAGGATTCTGTTACAGTAGATGTATGTGACTTGTTGGCGATAAATTCGAACAATAAACAGATAGCACACAATCCACTTGTTTTAAAATAATATATATCCAAAACAAGTAAAACTTATGTACAAAAATTATTTAAAATATAGGATATCACAGTTGTTTCTAAAACTCTAAATATCTTTTTTTTTCTCTCAAACTTCCATACAGGTTGGTTAAATTACTTTAGAACTGAATTGATAAGACGAATTATGTTATCTCTTCTCTGTTTCTTTCTATACAATCTGCGATAAATTCACTTACATTACCCCATGGTTTACCAAAGTTGTATCCAGAACTTTAAATAATTGTTTCCTTTTCGTCAAAGTCCACACAGATGAAATCAATTACTTTATAACACCTTTTGATAAGACGAATTATTTTCCTTATCTCTGTTAAAGTGTGAACCTCACTATAAAATACCGCTCGTTACGGTTAAACTAACAATCACGCAGTCTAAATCACTTTCGCTGACTTAACTTTTTCTTACTTTACTTCCTTAACTTGCTGTATCTGCACATATTTATAACCAGCGACAGAAAAATTTAGAACTATCTCTCTCTCTAGTAGCAACAATACTACACATAACCATAAAAACTTGGAAGTTTCGAGTCAACAATATTACTAAAGCCTAGTACAATCAAACTGCATACAGAACGTACGACTCCCAAAGAGTTACGTAACAAACTTGTCATATCTATTACTTTTGAAATAATTAACTTTTAACACCCTTGTTACGAAAACTAAATAATCATTAAATAAACTATATAATAACTATTAAGCTAAACAGTCTTGTATATCCAACAATTATTGTGTTTTGTAGTTTAAATTCAGGTTTCTCAACCCTGCAAGAGAGATTTATTTGCTAAGATTTTGTTTACCTCTTAGTAGCTTTGTGTCTTTGTTAAACTATATTTTTTTTCATTTCATGTTTGGTTTTATTTTTAGTCTGTAACTTTAGTTTAATTTACAGAGGGGTTCACAATGTGTGAGAGAGAGAGATAGAGAGCCCACTAAGATTTCTCTTCACTTCTCTCCCTCTCGCCAGTCCGACATGCCCAAAATAAATACTCGCCATTGTGCTATTGTGGGTTAGTAAAAATTGTTATGTAAATTCTGTATCTTGACTATATCTTCACAACAAAATCTGGCATGTCCTACTGGCTTGCATACTCAACTTCTGATCAGCTGGTTATAGGATCACATTCTGTCACCAAACATGCTCGCCCTTTCAACTGTGGGGTTTTATAATGTGTCAGTCAATCCCACTATTTATTGGTAAAGAATAGCTTAAGCATTGGTAGTAAATAATGCTTACTAGCTGCTTTTCCTCTAGTCTATTACTTTAAAAGTAGGAAAGACTAGCATAGATAGCTCTCGAGTAGCTTTGTGCAAAATTCAAAAAACAAACAAAAAACCTCCTGACAAACTCAGGCAGAGTTAAGAAAGAAACACATACACATATTCAGTGATGTGGTGTCCATTAGATATCCTATTAATGGACCCTAACTGAATGAAGTAATACCACAGTTTCTGTCTCCTTCTTATGATGCCCCCCAGCGGTATGTCTGCGTACTTACAATGCTAGAAACCGGGTTTCAATACCCATAGTGAGCAAAGCACAGATAGCTATTTGTGCAGCTTTGTGCTTAACTTTAAACAAACAAAGCTTTCTGACCATCTTTAACTTTTCTGTCTCTATCTTATAATTTTCAAAATCTTCCTTCTTGGTCTTTTTCTAATTTTTTTTCTTGCTCATCTTTTACTGTTTCATCATTTATGGTAAAATTTCGATTTCACTTCAAACTCATCTTGTCATCCTGAAGTTTAATTTATTTTATTTTATTTTCACTCAAGTAATCCTATTTATGCCTATGGTGTTGTAAACTTGTAATGGTTTTTACTGTTGAGCTGGTTTCTTCGAACTATTCAGTAAAAACTAAAAGGATATTGTAAAGTCCAGTCCACTTAATGCTAACAAAAGCATTTCATTTCTTGAACTTCGAATTCTAGAAGTTAAATTTACTAATGTTCATTGATAGGTTTAAAATCACTAAAAAAAATGATAAAAATGTATTTTACTTGCTAATTTTCTCGTATCTCTGCTACTTTCTTTAATCACAAATTCAAAATTTAGCCTTGAATTATCTAACTGGTTACATGAACGCTGACAGTGGAGGTCTGGATCACCACAAACAATTTGACAAAAGGCGCGCCAAACCCTCAATTTTTCAAAATTATTGGCAATTTATACCATGTAACCAATGTTATTATATTTTGAACTACTCACAAATCAACATATTATCGTCTAATGCCTGGGTCTATCCTAAAGTACTGTACTGCCTCACCCCCAGTAGTTGAGGGCATAATATAAATATTGTTACCTATCTGCTTGTATGTTAATTTCCCGTAGAAATTCTTTCCGAGAAACTTCAGCGATACAAGTCCTTTCTTAATTAAAACTAGTTTATTCTTTCTCGATACAACTTTGCAATACACGGAATTTCCACAGTCAATACTGTTACGTCTCCGTTTGTTAATTAACTTTCCGTAACTTCGTTCCGACGAAACTTTAGCGACACAAGTCTTTACT